TTGTTAAGTTTAGGTATTGGGTAGGATGTGGGATGCAGAATATGGTCATGCAGAAAATGTGACAGCCAATATGTTAATAACAGGCATGCTAACAAGCAAGTTAATACTGAGAACTGATCCCTATACTAAAGTGTTACCAATGCAATAACACTATACAAATAATGTCAATTTAACACTGGTTTGCACAGTACAAATAAACAGAAATAAAAACAGGATTGTTACCACTACAATATTTAAGTTTAGTTTTTGCTATAATATTTCTGGATCATTGATCCGAAAGAGTTATTGTTCTCATAAAGAAAATAATATAATTTAAGAATACAGAAAACTATTTCCAGCCTAAAGGTGGTACTTTTACATTAATGTTTAATACACTTTAAAAGTTTAATAAAAGCATAATGAGTTCTTTCTCACAAAAATGTTCCTTATTTTAAATTGTCCAGAGGAGACAAAAAAAGAGACGTGGATGTGTGTATTTTTTGCTCCACTGGTGTCACCAAATGGAAGTGGGAAATAAAAAATGAGAGTAAAGACCCTTTTCAGTCAGGTTTCTGAAACGCTCCCCCTGTCTGTCATTGGCTGAACACACAGGTAGCCCCGCCCCAAACAAACACTATTGGTTGCCGTGTCAGAATGGTATAATCTTTTTTTTGTCCCTTAATTTTTTATTAAGATCGGTAAATCCCTCTCCATTTCCAGATGACATGATTATGTGTTGAAACATGTTTCGTTTGAACTTTTGCCCCATGTGTTTAAAATCAGATTTTTAGGTCAGGTCTCAAAGGTCAGGCTTTTGTCTGTTTTACCTCCCCCTATCTTTTCAGCTCTATCCGGTCTCTGTAAACAAGAGGGTTGCAGGGGACTGAGGCTCTCTGTGTTTCCACGCAGCAGCTGCAGGAAGAGACTGTGAGAACCACATCCATCCCACAATGCTCCTCTTAAACCAATGGCAGGAATGTGTCCGCTCAGACATGTCTGCTCACATGAACTTGCTTTTATACGCAGAGACCCATACGGACTTAAACACACACACAGGACCAGACCATAACAACCAGAGCCTATTAAACCTGACCAAAACCAGCCATTTCAGCATTCACATCCTCAGCACATCATACTGTGAAAAGTGATGGAGTAATGTACTGCAGACCATAAAAAAGCAACCACAATTCTGTTTGCTAACAGCACGAACCCTATGAAATGGCTTGGCAAGCAGCGATAAGGTGGTATATGCAATACATTAATATGTCAACACATAAGAGGTATCATGCTAACAATTAAAACACTAAAAATGATCATGCTAACAAAACAAAATTTAATTAGACTTACTGTGCACACTCTCAGTATAAACAAACAAATGATAAAATGAATAAACAACTAATTAGAAATGATAATGAGGACTTATAGAGGAGTACATATAATGCTCTTGTGTGGCACCTATATCAGTGTAAACAAGTGATTTGTGCTTATGTGTAACATATTCCACAAAATTGTGCCAATTTTCGCTTTAGTTAGTAATTGTGTAATCAGAGTAAATAGTGCATCCAATATTACAATGCATACTAAAATGTACTTAGCCAGCTGCAAATCCATCAAGGAACACATTTCGAAAGCAGACTTGATCGCAGGTCCAGGAAATGGAAGCCCTATAGAACAGAATGTGTCAGACGCAAGAAAATAAGGCCAACTAATGAGGACAGCTAAATATACCACTACAGGCGTTCTGCTCTCTCGCTCTCTCATCTCTCTCTTTCTCTCTCTGAAGGTTACCTTGCTTTCATTACACCAGGACACATTTAATATCAGCTCTATGATCAGGCCTGGTGAGCCCATATCGAGCTTTATCCAAGGTTTGGACCATAATAATCTTCATAGTAGACACACTAATTTCTGTGTCCAAGGCTAGAGTACAAAAACTTAGAAATTCTGTCATTATTTTGTTCACCCTCATGTTGCTCTGACCCCATTTGCTGTTTTTATTAATTTGTTTCTGTAGGACATGAAAGCAGATTTTTTTTCTTTTGAATTATTACACAACTCGTCATACAACAATGGTTTATAGTGACCAGAGCTGTCAAACACACACAAAAAAAAGAAAAATAATAGCACTTTTATGGTGGTATTTTTTGTCCTTTTTTGAGCTCTACAGACCCTGGGCATGTGCATAAGTTACAACTTAGCCTAGTTGCAGCATAAAGGTGCACTATAACTACTTATTTTTTATTGCACCGTCATTTAGTTGAAACCTAACTCTGTGTATAAACTAAATATTTACAGACACTTCTGACCATGATTAATGGTAGGGATTAAAACAGCAGATTAACTGAATAATTCCATAAGTAAACTCATGTTTTACCTGACAAATTAAATTCTTTAGGCATATATGATGATGTTGACATTTACACTAATTTTAAGAAAGAGAACATTATGTGAATAATTGACTTGTTAGTGTCTAAAAATCAATTCAAAACACCTCCAAGTGTATGTCAAATAAAATTAATCATAATGAATAAATGTGATGTTTTTGTGTGTGTGTGTGTGTGTGTGTGTGCTTGTCAGTATCTATTTATTGATATTACTGTCAGATACCATTTCTGAATATTATTTACATTTATTTATAAATAATTCATATTAATTTAAATCATGATTAAGTGTCATATTTCATGGGAAACTTGTTTTTATCATAAGTTACGTGAGACAACATAAGTTAGAATCAACCAAAACTGAAATTCAAAGCTACACAGCTTCTTGTCACAAATTTGAAGGCTGTTGGTTGTTTAAAGGTAAACCTAATAAGACTATGCATTACTTTCTGGAGAGCTTACGAGCCTCTAGGTACGTTCTGCCTCACGAACCAATGGTGCAACCGAAGCGTTAGTTACAAACTAGCCATGAGTTATAAAGCCTCTAATGTAGATTTTACCCTACCCTGGGCACTATGAATTGTCTGAGTATGAGTTTGCAATGTCTTGGGGTGAGCAAACTGTTCCTGTAAGACTTAACTAGTTGTGGTTACAGAAAAGTGTGACATAATACGTGTCCCTTGGCAGAATTAGACAAAAAATTATTTCCAACTACACCATGCAGTCTTTGTTCTTTCACACGGTATTTCTAGAGAATATAGAGATTTGAATTGCACTCTTAAGAGAAGCAACATTTCGATTAAATGTAAAAGTAATAATGACAAGAAATGAAATAAATAAGCGGAGCTCGGAAGCATTAGCTATTAACAGCATGAAGTAATTTATCCACACACTCCACTTGTTAGGGTTGTTTCTGAATGCTAATGACTCTATGTCATTGAAAAGCAGTCATATGTGACAGTGTCATTAATGGCTTCTCGAGTCTCATTCGCTCTCTGTATATGGTGGCAGTCTTGCTCTTTATTAAAATACTTTAATAAGACGTACATCTACTGTTCTTTCACACTTGACTGACTGGGCCATACAAACATTTAAGTCTCAAGTTTGTGTTCATTACATAGCACACATATTGAGAAATGGGTTATATAGGGGATTCTTCAATTATAGAGGCACTATAAAAACTTAAAATCTTTAAAAAAAAAATCTAATTTCTAATTCTGCAATGACACCTAAAAAACTGATAATGATGCAAAACTTAATTTTTCAGTTTTCTGCTCTCTACTTCACTGCCCTGCTAGAGATGTGCTCTCATTTTATATCTCATTTCAAATATGTATTTTATATTATTAAATAATATTATTACTTTTAGTTGTGAAAATATAATTTAATATGTTCTAAGGAACATGTAAGGTTGTTCATCTCTGGTTTTAATGCTTTTTATAAATGTATTATATAGGAAATAATAATTAAAGAGACACCATTATAATCTGCCCTTTAAAACTACAATTTATATATAATTCATACTAGGGAATGGAACAGTTCCCCTAATCGAAGTATAACTCAGAATGTATTGAGGTCGACTGCAAGCAATAATTGGCAGCATTATAAAGAAACAGTCCCATTATTTTTATACAGTAATAGCCTGAGGAAAGGCAATTCGAAAGTGCATTTTTATCTGTACTTGACATCCTTTCTCACCTATTTTGTTGTAATACAGCTGCTAATTTGAAAAAATGTATCCATGGAGTTCATGTGGAACATTAAAAGCACATCTTGTGGATGTCATTTACATTGAATATTTATAAAAGTTTGCTTCATATGCTTCATCAGCACTGGCATGCCACATTTTGTTGATCCATCAACCATTTACCAGATGACCTGCTCTGACCCATCAGATGACCTGACCTCTTCTTGCCCCTCTGGTCGCTAGATCAATGCAAACTGAAACTGGTTAGCGATAAGAATGTTTTATGTTCATAAATTATTTAAACTATGCTGCTTGACCTAGTTCATTTGGCTGATAGTGCTGAGCAAAACATTCATTAAGGACAGGTCCAAGAGCAGCTGCGCACTTTTGCTTTATTATCTGTCACATGCCATGGGGACGTGTCCATTATATAAAATGTATACATGGAGGTGACAGGCAGAAAGGTGTCTTGGGAAATAGCGACAGTCTGGGTTGGGGGTGGTAACGAAAATAGAGCTGTTGTCGTGGGTGGAGGAAGTGGGGGAAGGGAAAATATTCCAGAGGCTCAGAGCCAGATGGTCATTGATATAGAGGTGGCCCAGTTACAGTATGTTATACCATATCGCACTGTACTTACAGTCTTTTGCAGCTACGTTTGTCTTGGTGTGATTTATGAGGAAGCAACAAAGACTCATTAGGTGCCTGCAAACATCCCTTATTAGAAATACTGTTGCTCTTGCTCATATACTCCTGAGGCTTTGACAAGACAACAGGACCAAGATGGCAGTGATTAAAAAAAATGTTAGTACATCCTTCTGTAATTTTTTTTCATGGGTTTTAATTTAACTCTGATCAATCATAATCAGTCATAATTTGGTCAGCAAGTCTAATTACAAAAAGACCTTAAGTTGATTACACCGATTGCAATGCATATTTCATCAATAAATTTGATTATGTCATCCCTCAGTAATAATCTTCATCTTTTACTTCTGCTGACTTCACATTATATAGGAACAAAGTAGTTTACAGTCTTCCAAAGTAGAATTAATTTCATCAGCCCATTAAACAACAATTTTTTTCTGCATTGTCTTTTCTTATTGTATCTAAATCTTTATGATAAAAAAGACATGTCTAGTGCCTCTTTCAGGTTTTTGGTAATTAAAATAATATAACAATATAATAATGTCATTTAAAAAATATATAATTGATGTATAGAAGTATATACCGGAACGTTACATTTAATGTTTATTTTATTTTACTATTTAATATAGCTTTGTTTTTTCAAAAATATTATTAATTTCAAAAATATTATCAAATTTCACATACTTCTTGATAACATTTTACTTAATAAGCATCACTTTGTAATAACTTTGCATGACTCTGAGAGATTTTGAGGAAAGACCCTAGTAAAAAAAAATTAATCTATGGCATAATCTATTTAAAATACATTAATTTCATACCAGGTATACTTGAAATCCATTAACATATTTATTGACATGTCACTTAAGGCTTACTGATTTAAAAATATAATTAAACTTCATTTGGAGTATTTGGACAATACACTTTTTAATATTATGCCTAAAATGTGTTTTAATATCACTATTAAGTATGATCTTTGTATAATAATCAGTCTTTAAATGCAACGTATTTAAATTATACCTAAAGTATACTTGCAATAGTTCCACTTTAGCACAATCAAATATACTTACAGTGAGTATAGTTGGACCTAAGCCCTACTTCCACACAATTAAAGTGCATTTAGTACAAAGTTAGTTTTTCCAATTTAGCAGACTTTATACCTGTTTAGTATACCAAAAGTACAATTACAAGGTATTTTTATTAAGCACATAAATATGTGCATGTATTTGTAGTATACTTTCAAATACATTTTAGTATTTTTTTACTAGGGGAGGGAATAATTTTTGCAAATGAGATCCTACAGTTGTACAAGACTCATAATGTGTTACTTTTCTATCAGATTCTAATTGATTCTCTTTTTTTCAGTCTGTTCTCAGTTCTCAAGAGGAGTTTATGCTATTTTTGGATTTTATGACAAGAAGTCAATGAACACAATAACGTCGTTCTGTGGGACACTGCACGTCTCCTTCATCACACCAAGCTTTCCCTTGGACGGAAATCAGCAGTTTATCATTCAGATGCGACCAGACATCAAAGGGCCTCTCCTGAGCCTCATTGAGTACTACAAATGGGACAAGTTTGCCTACCTGTACGACAGTGACCGAGGTAAGGCACTGCACTGCATTATTCAACACCATATAAACATGACGTGTGTGAGCTGAGGAAAAATAACAGATTTACTTTTAAATAGGATTCCATTTGTGTTTTGCCAGTGGGAAGGCTTTCAGGCACATCAGCTGGTTTGTTGTTTAGCAAATCATCACTTTTGGATGAAGCCATTCCTTTAGCATTTTAAAATAAATATGAGTAAAGTGTCTCATCGCTTAAAGGTGCATGGGGCTGGTTCAGCATGGGGCATCGTTAAAATGCAGGGCTTGGGATAGTATTATAATTCACACAGTATCATGATGCTATATAAAAGCAATTGACAATATTTGATGCTACAGATAAGATTATGGCTGTTGCATTTAGAATATTCATATTTAAGGATATTAGCCTGTCAAAAGGCATATCTACAATGAAACGCAGGTTTATTTTGCACCTTGAGCTGGAGTGAGCAGGATCCAGCATTATTAAATGTTCATTTTGTGTTTGTTGAACCCACTGGCCTTTGTTTTGCGGCTTTCTATTTGCCTCAAGCTCGTCTGTGTCTCTCACTCTCCATTTTTTTTTTCAATCTCCCTTTCTGTTTTACTCATTTTCCTCTGTCACCCTCCAATTCTCGCTTTCTTTGATGGTTGCGGAGGTTGAGAGCTGTGTGGCACAAATGAGAATGGTTGACGTGAGTCTCTGAGGACCGCGGTGTCGTAAATGTCTGTAATGGCGATGTTTTATTAACTGTGAGGTTGCTACTTCAACTTTCCTGTGATGAAGATCAGTATGCACACAATGTGTCATTTATCATTTATGAATATTAATTATGTATACATAACCCAATGTTCCCAAAAATCCTCTTTGTGTGTGCATTTGCTTGCATGCCTTTGTGACTGTTTGCTTTTGTTGAGGGGTGAATCTGCATGATTTATTTTAGACTTGTGTGGTTGCATATGTGGGATGAAATATGCACCTTGATGCACACGTTTACATCACTTGTCATACTAATTAGGTCGATCGATGCTACATTCCCATGGTAACCATTGTGCTGTGTGTGTTATTAATGTGTCGGTGTTACTGTGTGAGAGCAGCAGCACAGCGCCTGTGGTCATGACACATTTCACTGGTGAGATCAGTCATAAATGCAAACTTAATGCCACATCCAGCATCCCTCCAGTCCTCCATTTGTGCAAATAATGTTGAGGATTTAAGGAATGTAATAGGATGTGCACTGCATCTTTTATGATACGTAATAAACTGTATATTTACAGATGATTTGCATGCTGTGGTTGATTAAGTTCAATGTTCAATAACAGTGTGAAATGTATCCGTTTTGAAACAAGTTCAGTTCAGCTTAAGCCGTTCTCCAGAAAGCAGCAATGTCATTATTAAACAACACACTTACTCAGATATCACTACTTTCAATCGTGTCTAAATTGAATATACTTAAAAATTACTCGAATATACTTAAAAATTATTACTTTGAGTAAGCCGTTTTTTTGTCGTACATCCATATCTGCAACCTTCATTACACTTGTGGTATTTACCAAAGATTTGTTGAATAATAGTCTAAAAGAAGGTAATTATGAATAATAAAGGCTTTTTTAGATTATTTATTTATTTATTTAAATTGTTCAAATTTTAAAGCAAAAAAAAAGCATAAACTTAAAGATGTTTCTTGTGCTAAACAAGGCTGCATTTATTTGATCAAAAACACAATAAAAACTGTAATATTATGAAATATTATTACAATTAAAAATAACTGTTTTCTTTTTTTCACATATTTGAAAATGTAATTTATTCCAATTTATTATAAATTGTGCATGTTTTAGTAAAGAAATGGCTGATGGGTTAATAAAGAGTTTATTCAAGCCCGATATTGAGCACTTAAGCAGGAAACAAATTCATAATTTATAGTCCCAGAAAAGCTTTTATTTTTTAAACCACAGAGCGTGAAAGTGAAAGTGGCTGGTGGCCAGGGTGGTAGTTGTTGTGCTTATATAAATTATGTGAAGGTTCCAGTTTAGTGTTTTGTTCAGTGGCGTGGATGTGAAGACGTGATGGATTCTTACAGCCTGCTGGGTGCTTTCTGCATGACAGTTGATCGCTTTAGATACTTTTTTCATCACTCACCTGGTGGAGATGCCAGCATCCTTTTACACTGGATACTGATGAGCAGGGAAGTGACTGTAGCTGAGGGTCATTTCGTCACCCTTCCTGCTGCCCATGTGGATCTGGCGTGTCGCTGTCCGTGGTCCTGGAACGCATGAGACAGGGTACCCAGAGTGTCGCTGACACACTTATATAGACTCACAAACGCTCTCTCGTGCTTGTTAGGTGGTGTGTTGTCATCAGGGACAGGTGCATGGCAAAAGAGAAATATGCTTACAACTGGAAAACATGCTTGAGCACCAGAATTCCTGTTTCAGCAGGTCATTAAATGTAAAGTTTGTCTGGATTGTGCATTTCTTTTTTGTTTGAGCTTGAAGGACAGTCACTGCTCCCCATCTCCTTTGACTTTATCTTTTCTTGGTGATTTGCTTTGTTTTAAAGTGCCTTATGTAATCAATAAAGGATTGGCTGTGCACAAAGACTAATTTTCCCTCACTGTGAGACTCATCCATAACCCCTGCATAATTGGGATGGCTAATTAAATCAGTGTAACACCTCTGAAGATCTACAAAGATCCAGCTGCGAAGTGCTTATAGAGAGACAATGAGATTATGTAATACAGCTGACATCACAGTTCAATAAGGGAGACCCCATACTGGTAAAACCAATAGACAGATATTGAACCACAACCATTATTCATTAAGGTTTCACTCATGTTTATGCAACAAGATTATGGAGCACTACGTAAAATAATATAATACATGCTACAAATACACAACTGTTTAAAAGTTTGCTCCCAGTAATATTTTTTTTTCTTTTAATGGGCAAGGATGCACATAATGGCTGAAAACAACAGGAAAGGTACCAACCAACCAACCAACAAACAAACGAACGAACGAATAAACGAACAAACAAACTAATAGAATGCTGTTCTTTTGAGCTGTCTATTCATTAAAGATTCTTGGGGGGAAAAGTATCACTGTTTCCACAAAAAAATTAAGCAGCACAACTGATTTCAACACTGATATTTTTATTAATTATTATTTTTATTTATTTATTTATTTGAGCAGCAAATCAGCATATTATAATTATTTCTGAAGGATCATGTGAGCATGATCAAGGCTAGAGTAATGGGTGCTAAAAATTCAGCTTTGTGATCACAGGAATAAAATACATTTTAAGATAATTAAAATAGAAAACAATTATTTTAAATTGTAAATATTTCACAATATTAGGTTTTATACAGTATTTATGAACAAATCAAATAAATGCAACCCTGTTTAGACTAAGATACTTATTTAAAAAACATAAAAATATTACAGACCCAAACTTTTGAATGGTAGTGTAGATGTCAAATGCATTATTATTATTGTTGCTGCTGTTGTTTTCATTTTGCCCAAATAAGTGTTACAATGTTAAATCTTTTTACATTTCAAATGACTATTTTTACATATCATGGTTAAGGAAATTGCTAGCAAATTAAATAAATTCATATTGAGTCAGGATTTGCCTGCAAATTGTTAAATCTTCAGCTTCTATGTCACCCATCAGGCATTCATTCATAAGTGATTTTGGAGTGTTCTGGAACAATAATGAACAGAAGTGCTATCATCTCATTTGCTCCTTAGGTTTTAAGTGACCCAAATCAGGATTTCCTAGATTGAGAAGTGATTTTGTAGTGTGCTGGAGTAACAATGCATTTCAATGCTATCATCTCATTTGTTAGCACTAATGGCCCTTACTAACGAGCTTTTAATCACTTATCTCCAAGAATAGCTGTAAGCCTTGATCCTCATGTCTCTAAGCCACACATTTAACAAAGGTTAAACACAGGAGCCCACTGTGCCTCGCACTCCCTGAGATTTTATCCACGATTAATGTACTCTGTCGAAACACGACACACTGTTTTCATATTCTTACAAATCAAATACACATATCTAGCATACAAACACTCACTCACATTGACTTAATTAAAGTGCCCCTATTATGGGTAAGGAAAGGTTCATATTTTGGTTTTGGGAGTCCCCAACAACAGGTTGACATGCATGCAAAGTCAAAAAACGCTTTCATTGTCTTATAATATGCATTTATTTTTATCTTACTTGCTCAACGACTCCCAAACGATTCGCTCAATGATTAATTTTCCCAAACCCCTCCTTTGTGGAAACAGCTATTCTTACTGCTCTAAAAGCGGCACCTATAGTGGCAAAGAATGAATTTGCATTTTCATTCAGACCAATGCGAAAAGACCAACAAGTGGGCGGGAAATATGCTAATGTTTCATGTTCACATCAACATTGAAACGGCTTGGGATTCGTTTGAAAAACGACTCGTTTCAATGATTCAGAGTTGACTCTTTCTTTTGAGAGACTGTAAATTCATACACGGTGCATTTTCAGATTTGAAATTTTGCTGGATGTTTTCATTCACTTAGAATGAAAGTTAATATTCCAAAAAATCTGTTCCTCTTCCTCATAATCAGGACTTACCACTCTCCAAGTTGTGCTGGACACAGCAGCAGAGAAGAAATGGCATGTGACCGCCATCAACGTGGGCAACATGAAGGACGAGAGGAAGGATGAAGCATATCGCTCACTCTTTCAGGACCTAGAAAACAAGAAGGAGCGGAGAGTGATTCTCGACTGTGAGCAGGACAAAGTTAAAGATATCATGGAACAGGTATACACATCAGCTGATGCACTAAATAGTTCTGATGTAATCGACATTATGACATTGTCATCTTAGCATGCAGCATTTCAGCTCAAACAAAGTGCTCCTAATATGAGCTGGTTTAGCTGCATTAATTAATGTAAGTCCTTGTCATTTGTATGGGTGATGAAATAATGCAGACATTGCATGTAAACAAGCTAATCAAAGCAAAACAAATGCATTATCATTTAATAGTTCAGGGTCAGCAAGATGTTTTTTTTTTTTAAATAATTTTATTAACCAACAATCTAGTAAATTATTACTCTGTTTTGAACTTTGTAATAATAAAAGATTTCTGGGGGGAAAACTATATACATGCATACACACACACACACACCAGCACAACTGTTTTCAACGTTGATAATAATAACTGTTTCTTGAGCACTAAATTAGAATATTAGAATGATTTCTGAAGGATCATGTGACATTGAAGACTGGAGTAATGGCTGCTTAAAATTCAGCATTTCATCACATAATAAATTACATTTTAAAATATATTAAAATAGACAGCAGTTATTTTAAATTGTAAAAAATATTTCCCAGTATTTATATTATTGTATTTATACTTTAACATTTTACATTTTTTAATTAAATAAATGCACCTTTGGTGAGTGTAAGGGACTTTTAAACAGTAGTGGATGTAAAGAAAAAGAACTTGATAATCCAAAAGGATTTTTTTCATCTTTATATAAACAACAAGTCTACATAATACTTAAATAACAATATAAAAACTAATAATTAAAGCAACTTAGTACATTTTAAAAGCACCATAACTATGAATCATTAATTAGGAAGCACAAACAGACACCATTAGCGGGCAGAAAAGTCCTCATGAGATGGGTTTTTCATTCACACTCGCTGCACCCTCAGGGAAGAGCTATTGATTTGTATTTAAAGCCTGCAGAAGTGTGTTTAACCAACCGCCAGAATCAATGCAGCTGATTTGGGCTCTATAATATAGCTTTATCTACACACACAATTGCACGTACACATCACAAGTACCTTGCCGTCAGCACACAAACCTCTCAGACTGCTTTTATTTCAGCATGGAGCAGTATACATTTTCTTATCATTATCTAAAATATATTTATGAAGTGTAGTTTCACTTCATGAGCTTCTTTATTCTCGTTGCAGGTCATAACTATTGGCAGGCACGTGAAAGGATATCACTACATCATAGCAAACTTGGTAAATTATCTCAAATGTAACACTACCAAAGAACTACACATCTTATTGAAAATGTGCAAAAATGCTGAGAAAACCATGTCATGTTTTCAGGGTTTTGTGGATGGAGATCTTTCAAAAATCCAATACGGTGGAGCTAATGTCTCAGGCTTTCAGATTGTGGATTTCGATGACCCTCTGGTATCTAAATTTGACCAGCGCTGGGAAGCCCTGGAGGAAAAAGAATATCCTGGAGCAGACAGCAAGATACGGGTGAGATCTGTGTGTGTGTGTGTGTGTGTGAGACAGTCGCTTTTACTGTTTCAGACAGCTTCACTAAATATGATTAAAAGAGATGTTCAGGTAATTGCTACATGAACATAAAACCTCTTCATTTAAATGCCCGTATAGTTCAGGCCATTTGCAGGACAAGCTTGTTAGTCATTTTCAACTCCAGATAAAATGTAGTCTCATCTGTCTTCTCGCCAATTTACAAAGACTAAGTAGGTGCTTAATTTCCTGGGACTGAAATCAAGTGTTTCATTCTTACATTACCAATGAAGCCTGAAAATGCATAATTTAGAATTGAGAACGCCTTTTAAATTACAGTACATTCATGAATTTGAATTGAATGTACATTGCGGTAGCAAACAAATTCAAATGTAATGAAATTCATAAAACTGCTGTTATTTCCTGAGACAGCTTTACCAAATAAATGTTAAAGGAATAGTTCACCCAAAAATGAAAATTGTGACATTAATGACTCACCCTCACATTCCAAAACCGCAAGGCCTGAAATCCGAGAGCTTTCTGACCCTGCATAAACAGCAACGCAGCAACTAAAGTAACTACCACGTTCAAGGCCCAGAATGTCAGTAAGGACATCATTAAAATAGTCCATGTGTTCAACCATAATTTGATGAAGCTATGAGAATACTTGTGCACAAAGAAATCAAAAATAACTCTCGAGAGTCAATCTTGAGAGTACCACAGCGCATGCGTGTGCATTCCTCTGCTTGTAAACAAGCCGCAGTGTATCCGGGTTCTACGTCAGAACACCGACTCCTGCGTCAGTAGCACCTTGCGCATGCATGGTGCTCTCGTGAATGCTCATTGAATTGAACGCTAGAATTGCTATTATCACCTACAGTACAAGTATATTTCTGATTTTCTTCTCCAACCCTGTCAACTAATTCCTTACCATCTCTCACTCTCTCTCTCTCTGTATCCAGTACACTTCAGCACTGACATATGACGCAGTTCAGGTGATGACTGAGGCCTTCCGTTATCTGCACAAACAGCGAATTGACATCTCCCGTAGAGCTAACAATGGAGACTGCCTGGCCAATCCTGCTGTACCTTGGGCACAAGGGGTGGAGATAGAGCGTGCCCTAAAACAGGTGACATTATGCCAACCTGCCCAATGAGCACAAAGAAATCTATATAATTGTATTGTTTATATTGGGTTGTTGAAGTATTTGTAAAATAAAATCTTAGCTTAAATAAGATTTTGAACCCAGATAGTCACTTTTAGAGGCCATTTTAGATATTTGAACTTTTTCTGAAAAAGAAAAGAAAATCCCTCAAAAATGATTTTTCTTTTCTGTCATATCATTTTCATGCAGGTGAGAGTTGATGGTCTCACTGGTAATATTCAGTTTGACCAATATGGAAAAAGGGTGAATTACACAGTCAATGTCATGGAACTGAAAAGCAATGGACCAGTTAAGGTAAGGCTTGGTTCTAAGAAAAGTGTATATTAGAAAATAAAGCAGCATTTATTATTTCACATCATAAGTGTTACAAGTTACTCACAAATGCCTCTCTTTTTCAGATTGGCTATTGGAATGAAGTTGACAAAATGGTTGTGACAAAGTCTGATCTCTTCCCAAATGATACAATGGGGCTGGAAAACAAGACTGTGATCGTCACCACTATTCTAGTAGGTCTCAGTTGTGGTTTTCCATACTATTATGCTGTATTGTTGGAGTACGTGCTCCTTGACAAGGTGTTCCCTGCTGTCTTTTTCAGGAAGCGCCGTATGTAATGCTAAAGAAGAATGCTGACCTTTTTGTGGATAATGAAAGATATGAGGGGTACTGTGTGGACTTGGCAGCTGAAATAGCAAAACACTGTGGATTTAAATATCAGCTGAAAATAGTAGGAGATGGCAAATATGGAGCCAGAGATGCAGAGACGAAGATCTGGAATGGAATGGTTGGAGAGTTGGTTTATGGGGTAAGAAAGATATATATTTTTTAAACCTTCAAAGTTGGACATATATTAGTGATAAGTAGCTTCTAAACTGTTAGCATCAACATTTCCTATGATGAATTAATATTAAATCTCTTTGATTTTAGAAAGCTGACATTGCAGTGGCTCCACTGACTATCACTTTAGTCAGAGAAGAAGTCATCGACTTCTCAAAGCCATTCATGAGTTTGGGCATCTCCATCATGATCAAGAAGCCTCAGAAATCCAAGCCTGGTGTTTTCTCATTCCTGGACCCGCTGGCCTATGAGATCTGGATGTGTATCGTGTTTGCCTACATCGGCGTAAGCGTGGTGCTTTTCCTGGTCAGTCGTTTTAGTCCATATGAGTGGCACACTGAGGAATATGAGGATGGCCAGATACAGACTAACGAGTCAACCAATGAGTTTGGGATTTTCAACAGCCTTTGGTTCTCTCTTGGAGCTTTTATGAGACAGGGCTGTGATATTTCACCAAGGTTTGTTC